CTTACCACATCAATAATCTGAGTCAGTGAAAAAACAAAAGTGACATTTATGGGTTCTTTCGGATGGACTGATGGCCGGATTTCATTGTTATAGTCGTAGAGTAGATCACGATATAGACGCATCACATTTTGATCGGCTCGAGAAGATAGTTGGGTACTATGGGCGCCGTCTGGAATTATTTTTTCAGTATTTGAGATTTTGAAAGTGTTTACTTCCTCTGCACTTACAGGTTCTGGTACAGCTCAGGCCTGTGCGGCAACAAATTGCCGATTGCCGAAATTGCCGAAATTGCCGAATTTTTGTTGCCGATTTGCCGTTGCCGAAATCGGCAACGAAGAAAAAGTTGCCGATTTCGGCAAAAAAATTTCGGCAATTTCGGCAACTGAAATTTTTTTGAATTTAGAGATTTTCACAATTTTTTTTAGTCAAAAAAATGATTTCGAAGTTCGAATAATCAAATTTTGAACACCATCATCCCTCAGAGTGAATTTTAGAGGAAATGTGTCCCAATAATCATCAAAAATACTTGCATCGGATCTAAAAATGGGCTTTAAATTTGTGAGCATAGGAGAAAAATAGATATCATGAGTCACAACTCCTCTAAAAATTATCCAATCTGTCTCAAATCTCTAGGGAACGTGTGTCGTGAGTTGCCTAACAAGTTGAGCGCACTATTTTCAAAACTCACAATCGGAACAAATATTTTCAACCATTGGAGTACCCTCTATTGCTAAAGAGAAATAGTTTGCATAAAAAATGTGGTCTTGAGTTGCCAATTTTTGTAATTACTTTTTTAAGGAACTTATGAAACACATTTTCTGTAGTTCTGAGCCTGATAGAAGCATTTTCATGTGAGTTACGTATCGATTTTACTAAAAAAAAGACGCAAAACTTTTGTTGCCAAAATTGCCGAAATTTTTTTTTGGCAATCGCCGAGTTGCCGAACGTTGCCGAAAAGTATTTGGCAAATTGCCGAGTTGCCGAATTGGCGAAAAAATTTTGTTGCCGCACAGGCCTGGTACAGCTTCCGACCTCTTAACTTTGAGATCAATTATCTCGATGCTTGTGAAAGATATTAAAAATGTGTCAACTGATCAAACACTTCTGATATTATGATAAACAATTTATTAGTTGACAATATTTTGATATCTTTTGAAGGAACCGAGAAAAATTGTCTCAAAGTTGAAAGCAACGGGGAGAAGGGCACTTCTATTACAGGTATTACATTAACATATTTTCAGCCCTGGATTTTCAAGCCTAGTCTATTTCCCCCAACTTTCGTCTCCCATCACTTTCTCCCATGGGAAATGATATCGAATGGGTTCCATTTTATACTCATCTCAACCAAAAAATGTCATTTCCTTTTGTTTTTCTCTTCCGCATCGAACCAGAAAAGAAACTTCAAAAGCATCAACAAATCAAAATGATTCACTTTTTTTTCTCTCGATCGAAAAGTCGGACCCCGAGGGAATATTGTATAGCTAGTTTTTGTTTTTGGGGGTAAATCTACATCTTTTGATTTTCACAAAAGTCCATTAATTAGAAGGGGCGAACCAATTAGTGACCCCCAAGCTTTGAACTTGTCTATTTTTTCTTCTTTTTGCACGTCCAAGAACTAGAAAAAGTTTGATGAGAAATTTTGCAGATTTCACAGAATCCCGGTTTTTGAAAATGAATTTCTGAATTTTGAATTTGTTCTGAATCTCTGAATTTCTGAATTTCTGAATTTCTGAATCCCTGAATTTCTGAATTTCTGAATTTCTGAATTTCTGAATTTCCGAATTTCTGAATTTCTGAATTTCTGAATTTCTGAATTTCTGAATCCCTGAATTTCTGAATTTCTGAATTTCTGAATCCCTGAATTTCTGAATTTCTGAATTTCTGAATTTCCGAATTTCCGAATTTCTGAATTTCTGAATTTCTGAATTTCTGAATTTCTGAATTTCTGAATCTCTGAATTTCTGAATCTCTGAATTTCTGAATTTCTGAATTTCCGAATTTCCCAATTTCTGAATTTCTGAATTTCTGAATTTCTGAATTTCTGAATTTCTGAATTTCTGAATCTCTGAATTTCTAAATTTCTAAATTTCTAAATTTCTAAATTTCTAAATTTCTACATTTCTAAATTTCTTGTTAACTGATAAATTGCTTATCACAATATCACAAACATATTAATCAGATGACACTTTTTTGATATCTCCTACAGAAACCGAAAAAAGCTTAAACTTGTCGGGCTCTTCTATTACAGGTTTTGCGGTATTTCCTAAAAACTCACTAAAAAACAAGAACAAAGAAATATTGTAGATGGCGGTGAGCATTATAGAGGCATCTGAAAATTATTCATTTTCAGAATTCCAGAGAAGAAGCCTCATAAAAGAAAAAGATAGATTCAGAGAAGATGTGAGAGAGAAAAAAGCAAAAGATGGGTAAGAAAAAGGGAGGGTGCGGATAAGAAGAATTGAATAAACACAAGGCTTTTCTTAAAAAAGAAGAAGAAAGGATAAGAGAAAAGAAAGCTGAAGGAAAAAAGGGACGGAATATGCTAAGTGGGAAGAAGGATTCTGTGAATGTGTGGGGGGACAGGAGCTGGAGAAAAGAGAAGAACACATTTGGAAAATATGGAGAAGAAGAAAAGACGAATAAGGATCTGAAAATGGGAGAGAAAGAAGAGAAATGAGATTTGATTGGGGTGCATGGTTCAAAATTTTGATCTGTTAGAAATCTGCGAAACGGAAATTTTCCTAAATCGAATCGACAACCTTGAGCCCATTTCCAGTTGAAGATATCAAAGAGTAGTAAACTAATAAAATATTTCTTATAATATGATGCACATATTATCAGTTGACAACGTTTTGGTATCTCTTTCAGGAAATGAGATATACGAGCTCAAAGTTATGGAACCCATGATCTACAAAATGGTGCTAAGTTTACAATATTTTAAAGTCCTGTTTTCAAACCAGAAGACTTAAAACATCCAAAGAAATTGAATTCTTCCTTCTCCCTTCAAAACACATTCTAATTTGATCCCATATATCTCAGCTCCTGTAAGAGTTATCAAAAAGTGGCTCACTAACAAAATGTTCATCATATTATCACAAATATTTTGCCGGTTGGTCACTTTTTGATAACTTTTACAGGAACCGAGATAAATTAGCTCATAATTAGGAGGGGTCATTCTATATATTGCAGAGTACGGTAATTCGCTTTCAGGTGGAGTTAGAAAAAATCTAACAATAAGAAGGCACTATTTCGGTAAACTACATTTTGAAAAAAAAACCTTTAAAAGTGAAATAGAACCTTATCTCAGAGCTACACTAAATTTTGAAGCATTTTTGACCAAAAATCGGTTGTCATATTAATTATTCAGACCTCCTAAACATTTCTTTTTGAAATTTCTATTGAAACATTTTAATGAAATTTCAAAGGCAAAAAGTTTGAAAATGTCAAATGATATATACTGAGTCCAAACCCAAAAAAGCCTCCAAAAAAGTCATTCATACTCATCCATCCGTGACGTGGCAGTAAAACAGGAGAGAGGGGAGAGACGCAGAGAAACGTTTTGGAGGAGGATTCTGAAGAAGAAGACGTCAGAAGATGAAAAGGTTGGGGGGAGAAGAAGACTCCAGATGAGGGTGAAGAAGAAGAAAAAGAAGATGCACTTGGGAGTAAAAATACTTATTTTTACTTTATGGGGCTTTTTTATAGGAGTTCAGGATAAGAAAAATTTTATTAGAATCATGAAAAAATAAGAACCCGCATCCTAGACAAAAAATAACAAACACTCCTCTCGGATATTCGACTCCCTCAAAGAATGGGCGGAGCCTAACTTTTTGAGCCGCCCGAGCCGTCTCAATCTCGTTTGCTGTTTGTTTGTTTTCAAATCCCAAGATGTTCCTTGTTCGGAAAAAAAAAATTATACTCGTTTATTCAATATCACATGTATTATAATTATTTACAGTATTACTCATATTATTTCACAGACAATATCATTAATAGGTTATAAATTCAAAAAACATTCAAATCCCCGCCGCTGTCTCTTTCTCATCACTGCTGCTGCTGGTGGTCAACGTCTTCGGAATTTCACTTCGTCGACGGCGACGTTCGCATCTAGGACAATTTAGACTCTTCCTCTCGAAACATTTCTTATGGTACACCGCAAGACACGTGGCACAGGATCTTGTATTCTCGGTGAATGGATACAAAACCTTGTCCTTGGGATTCTCTTGACTCTCCACATCGTCGCAGAGTTCGCAGAAGAATCCATTTCCAGCGCAGGTCTCGCATTCCTCCTCAATATGTTTTCTGAACACTGTATGAATCTGCTCGAGTTCGGGAAGCAGTTTCCCTTCACACAGCTCCCGGAGCTCTTTCAATGAATACATCACAGCGTTATCAACGAAATGAGAGTGCGACTGGAGGTACTGTAGGATTCGCAGGCGGCGGGCGGTACGGCAGCTAACAAAGTAGCACTTCATCAGGAGGAAATTGCGACGAAGCTCGTTGACACGGCGGAGTTCCTAAAGAAAAAGGGGGCGTGGCTTATTAATTCGTGACATAGATACCTTATGAAATTTAATCAGTGATAATGTCGACTCGTTAATATCAATCAATGGTCGATGGTCCACAATCGACAATAGCTGTTTGACAGCCCGACAAATGGGTCTTGGGGTGGCATCCAAATTATGAATGATTCTTGCCGGAATGCTCCACGTGTCATTCCAATGACAATTTGGGCAGAATAGTTCTCCGGAATAGTCACAAAGACGTGCTTCCTGTTCACTGGTACCATCGAAACAGATTGGTGCAGAGCACTCGGCACACTGATACTCTTGTTCTGCCAGACTCCGTTCCTCACATAAATTGATATTGAGCTCGAATTTGGAGCGAGTGGAGAGGACGCCTGCACACACACGTTTGACGTCTTCGGCACATTTGTCGTGGGCCCGCATTCCGCAAACTGAAAATTGAACGTTTGAGGTCTAAATTTACAGAAACTGGTTCAAATTAAAAATTTTAAAACCCCATTAAAATCCCGAATAATACTGTATTCCAGATTTATAACTTTCAAGGTAAATTTCTTTTCGAAAAGCGAAAATTCTCAGTTTTCGCCTATTGTCTGGAAACTTCTGGAAGGATTTCGAATCTTTTTTCGAATCGCCGCCAAAACTGAAAAATCAGAAAAATTCATTTTTCCTTCAATTTTTCGCAAAATTTTTAGACTTTTTAAATTTTTTCTGCTTTTTTTTTTGAAGATTCTTTTTCAATTTTTCCGAATTTTCTGTCTTAAATTTGATTGAACGGTGTTCGCGAAGATTACTGTAGGTTACTGTAGAAAGCTAATTCTTTTTCAATGCAGATTCTTGTCTGCATGACGTGATTGTTTGCAAAAAAAAAACTACGAAAGGAAAATCGTTTTCTACAGTAACATACAGTAATCTATGCGAACACCGCTCTATCAAACTTCAGATAAAAAATTCGTCAAACTCGAAAAAGAATCTTTGAAACCATCGGAAAAATCTAAAAAAGCCTAAAAATTTTTGCAAAAAATTGAGGAAAAATTGAGCCAGAAGTCATGAAAATGAGTTTAAAATCAAGGTGGCCTAGAAATTAGGAAAACTCGGCCACTGGTCCAACTAGGTCTAGTCATAAGGGGGCTCATTTAAAAGCCCTTTTTTGCTGATTCTAAATACATCAATTTCATAGCAGACAATTGAGTTTCTAGACCACCATTTCTAGGCCTATTTTCGTACAATTTTTCACATTTTTAGTGGATTTGAAGCGTTTTCAAAATGAGAAAAAACAAAATTTTCAAAATAAACCTACCTCTACACCGTCTCCACCACTGCACGAGTCGCCATATCGTGTGCATGCACACCTCACAACACGGATTGTGTCCTCCACGAACCGGTTGCATCACGAATTCATGTCCCTCGGCACGACACTCGTCAGTCGAGTGTGTGGGCTCTCCAGATTCATCCTAGAAAATTGGGAAGTTTTATTTTGAACATACTTGTAATCCGGGCCTTCGCGGGTCCTGCCATAGTTTCTTTCAGAGTCAAAATATTTAGACCAACTAAATCGGATATGATAGAGC